GTGCGATAAAGGAACACATTTTTAAACGGTCATATCTGGAATTGCGCAAAATCAGATATATATTTAACAACGTAAGTAAATCGCTTCCTACTGCAATAAGAAACAGCTTTGCAATTGTTGAGGAGTAGACTGATGTTTAAAGGTTAAATACTAAGTATAGATTGACCAAACAAAGAAATTTGTTAGATTTCATTGTAGATACCAGGATCATGTCACACTGCTTGTTATCTAATTAATGATGAATTTGAATCTACTACATAATAAATGTGATAGTAATTGTTTACTGATCTGACGTCTTGCCAAGTTATGTTCATTCAATCCTTTTATAAATAGTGAGTTTATTGTAATTTGTCAGTAAAACTTGATTTCCTTCCAAAGTTTACTATTATTTAGAGTATAAACAAGAAGCATAGATATACTAAACAAAATGATTTATTATACTTTAAAGTATACATGAACATTCTAAATGAATGTTGTTTCCAAATATGTAGGCATTAGAATCAGCTACGGAATGTTTGAACTCATTAATTTTAGTTCATTTGAGTTCACAGAACCTGTCAATAATGTTCACTGAAACAAAATAAACTATGTGATCTGACTTCAACAGTACAAAGTATCACGCTTTATTATTACCGGTGGTCAGATTCCACAGCTTTCAGTTTAAATAAATTTGCATGTTGGTAGGAAATTTTAAATTATTGTTTGCTGTGTATTCTGATCTCTTGAATCTTAGCTGATTTGTGCCTAACATAACCATCGAGCCCAGAAAAGGAAATGCCATTCCAATGTCTTGTTTCTGCAGTTTCTTGTACCATTTTCATCAATACATTTGTTGCAGTAATTGGACTTCCTTGTTTCACAATGGCCAATATTATTCAGACTGCTGATAATATTAATATTTGCGTGCGTACATATATGGGGAGGAGTGTGAGTCATCGAATGATATTTGAGTAGTCAACATTTCGGATAGAGTGTCATGTGCTCTAGTGGTATAGCAGTGCAAGGAATATGCAAATTGTTACTATCCAAATAACTATGTCTGTTAAGTAAGTTATAAAAATGGCCTAACCAAAATTGGCTAGAATCGAAATTGATTGTAGGATGATTGCTATAATCTGATACAAACAATCAGTGTTAGACAATTTATCTGTTTGAATAAATTTGTTCCACCACAGAATCCACATCATATTATGTTATAAATCACAATTATGTTTACCATAGATCGAAATAACCTGGAGCATTTTCGAATTATCAATAAATAATTTCTTGAAATAACTTGACGATCTCGATGCCCGATTTATGTCATAGCAATTGAACAGGATTATGGCTAGAGATTAAATATTTAAGAGAAAGGAATCGGTTATTTTATACCGATACCCAGATACTATATGTCGTTTTCATCTTACTAACAGATAAACATAACGACATGGTATCATGTACCGATGAGTAATTTTAATAATTAAAGAACATATTCAGTGAAGGTGTTAATGTAATTAACTAGGAATTTTGGAAGGTCACTAAATGCACTTTAGCTTCTCCTTAGTTAATTACAAAATCATACACGTGTTTACAAAATACAACATAGTTGCACATACCACAATTCTACGATAAACTTTCTTAAGAATAAATTGGTCAAAATTAACAGTCATTTAAGGAATTTCTAGTGATAATCATTACATATGAAGAAGATATGCGATAAGTAGGATTCTGTGCAACATTTATCGTCATCATCACATCATGATAACAATAATGTGCAAATTAATGGATATCGCTCTGACAAACACGATATGTTCAATTGTACATCTCTAAAATAAATTCTCCGAAAATAGAACCTTTCTCCAAACTAATCTATGTAATTTTCACTTCTTAATGAGTACATTCCGTTTAGTTTGAAATCAGTCTTTATAATGACTCGATGATAGTCGACTCATGTTGAACGATATGAATTATTGGTTTGCCATTACTTATTGATGACATGAACATATATCATTTGTGAGTGTTCATGCCAATCAATATGATTTACATCTCAATCATAATCTAAATAAAGACAGAACAAATATTGATGCAGAATAATATGAATTCAATATATTTCGTTGTTTCTCATCAGCTGCTTACAACCAAATATGCATTAGAGTTTTAGCATTGGGGTAATAAATAGAATGGAACGACTGACACAAGTGAATGTAAAGGATTGGAATAACAAAAGTCATCGATGATAACTATATATATATGGGCAAGGAAAGTTCAGAGGTTATTAGGTATTAGAATAAGGGCTGGCGTAATAGTTGAGTTGAGTTCAGACACAGATAAAATTAAAAATGTGATTATTTTAGAGGTAGTTGAAAACAATTAGGGTTACGTAATAATTGAATAATTTTTAGAGGTAGTTAAAAACAATTAGGGTAGGTTACGCAATAATTGAATAAATTTGGATAGTTCATATAATTAGGAGACAAATGAGCGGAAATGTGTGAGAGAAAGGGTGGTTTAAGAATCGGGTAAGGGGGTGGGAATATAATAAAAACTGAATATTAGCCAAAATTGAACTAATAACAACAAAACTGAAACAAACAAAAAAAACAAAAAGAAAGATTACCAGGGTAGTAATAAGTTTATCACTGTCTCTTTTTGAATACATAGATCCGGTTTGAGTTTTTTTATCGCGATCGCTTCAGCAAAACGGAGAGCAGTTGTACTTCTTTGTTTACTAATGATTTTAAAGGCATGAGAAATGTCGATGCTGTGCCCGGTGTCGAGTAAATGCCGAGCTATCGCACTGTTGAGAGTCCTGGAGCCTTGCAGCCTCAGTGTCTTGGGAACATGCTCAGAAATGCGGACATGCACTCTTCTCTCGGTTCTTCCAATGTATGTGCTTCGGCACGTACATGTAAATTGGTAAATGCAGTTGGAGCTACTGAGAAAAGAAAACTTGTCGATTTTAGTTTGTTTCAGTGAGCAGTTTGTTTCCCACACTGTTGTCAGTTTAGTTGCTGGGTAGGTCGCTTTCAACGCGGAATTAAGTTGGTGGTTAATTTATTACCCCAATGCTAAAACTCTAATGCATATTTGGTTGTAAGCAGCTGATGAGAAACCACGAAATATAATGAATTCATATTATTCTGCATCAATATTTGTTCTGTCTTTATTTAAATTCATAAAGGGAACTAACTGCATGAAATTTTTGAAAAGCCGTCTCCCTGCTCATATTTTCAAGTCACACAATCAATTGGTGACAGTCCGTTGCAGGATATCGAGAGAGACAACAAGGTTAAAGTTTTTGGAACGATGCTTGAATGATTGCTGATCGTCTATCACTTATTACATGTCAAAATATTGAAGGGTAACACTCTTTGCAGATTAAGGTAACAGACAACAGATATAAAATGTAATGACTCTGGAGATAAGATCAGTTTACAGAGCAGATACTTGGTCTGTTGATTGCCCAACCGATGTAGTGGTGTAGAGTCTGCATTTGACAAAATCAAATGCTTGTTGAGATAGGTATGAAAGTGAAACCTTTTCACTTTATAAACCACATTAGATCATTTTATGAATATGTTTGTGTAATCATGCAATTCGTGCTACTCATTAAACAACAAACATAACAAACAACACTTATTCGACTACTGTCAGCTGGAGTAATTTCTTATGGTGGATCCAGTTTTACAGTTATTCGACTCGAAAATAATATGTTGGATATGGTTGAACACTTCCACTAAAATGAGACGAATTATTTTATCACAAAGATGAACTCTTAACTGAGAATCAATATGCTCATGCTCAACATTCACATATAAGCTCTGAAGTGTTTATATGTGATGAAACGAATCGAATTGCAATCATTCATCTATATATACTGTCAGTCTTCTGATTAAAGTAGGTTAAGTAAATACATGTATGCAAAGTTATCGCTAATCAAATTACTGATAACCTATTCAATTTACTTACACAGTAATTTCCACCCCATATGAACATTCATTTGAATTTCACAGGTAGTGGTTTTCTAACAAAAGTTTCATTGTAGAAATATCCAACTAGAATGATATTAAACAGCTAATACATTGTGTTTTAAATGTTAAACTCAAATATCCCTTTATAACTCGTACTGAGTAGCAGATATACTAGAGAAATTGGTTCTCCGATTTCCAAGTCCTCATATCGACGTCGGTGCTAGAAATTACCAAACATTTAAAGTTCACTATCATTTGGCTAATAGTGTTGATAATAAATACAAGCTAGTTTGAGTAAATATTCAGTGACAAGGAAAACAGATTTCTCAATATTAAATCATTATCTCTCAATTCAAATGTGCATCTGAACAATCGTACGCCTACTCCTAAATTATTTAATAAATTTGTATTTCCCGATTTGCTGGAAAAATTGTTTATTATATTATCATGTATTTCAAAATAACCTTTCAAATCATAGTTAATATCCCTGTCTCATTGTCAAATATCACTCCCACCTAACAGTTTTCTGTCACTACTATCTTTCAGTTGACAGGTTTGTAGGTAAATACAAAATAATTATTACACCAAAGGAATTTTCCCTCACAGTCCACTCTGTCTTTCAAATCCAACAATTACACTGTTTAGTCTCATTTCCAAACATTAAACAAAAATGGATTATTATAGTGTTTGATAAAAGGTGTCAATCAGAAGTGACCTAAAGGAAAATGGCATTTCATTGACTAGGAAATGGATCAATTTCCTAATGACTATTGCGGTACGGATATGAATGAGTATTTGTACATTTTAACTGGTAGTCCAACACACTTTCTCACTCACTCTTGTGTTCTTTCTCAAGTAGTCATTTGGGTGGGTATTGGGTAGCACATAGTGCATCAGATTTTGCACACCACCTGTCACAAAAGTGTTAAGACAGTGTCCAAAGATTGAAACAATCTACATTTCAACAACACACTAATATACCGAAATGAAGCTATCGAAAACCAATTCACTTAAAACAACAAATCACGATGAAATCATACATTTATTTACTTTTTTCTTCGATACATGTTTGATTTTTGCCTCCAAGACTTGTAGGTAATTTTTCCAAGAAGCATTTAAATGTGTCACCTAAACGTGTGTATAAATTTTTCCTGTAAAGAGATGCATTAAGGAAATTAATGTTTAGAAAATAAATAACTAAAGGAATTTGTTCATTTACTGAAATGATACTGATGCGTTCAAACAAGATCTGCTCAGAAACAATTCAATGACCAGTAATGAAAATTCGATATCACTCTCTAAAATATACGTGTGGAATGTTTATTTTCAGAGTAGATATATAAAGGTCATCTGAGTACCGTAATAACAGACAGTGATAATCTCACAAATACAAAACACTCGAAACTGTAAGCATCTCTATGTACTATGTGAATTGCTAGGCGACAATCATCTCCCGTTAATGTAATCCAATAACATGAAATATCTGAGCGATAACTTATTTCCCATTTATTTATCATCAGGTTCTACCGTTAGAAATCCACTACAAGATATGTATTAGTTTGACTATTATGAAAACATTCTTCGAAGTAGTTGTATTCTGAAATATTTCTTGTCTGTGCAATATGAAGTAGAATAGAATTGACATTAGATTCCAGTGTTATTGTAAAAGTCAATACCCAAGTGAGAGTCAATCGAGTTAGCAAGCCAAAAACTGAATGAAACACACATCATGAATTCCCACATCAAAATAAGAATAATGAACGAAATAAGACAAATATCATTTGCATTGTTTGTGTCTGACAATAATTTCAGTAATAAATGATTTAGAATTGTAGAGTACCATCCAACTCACCAGGTATCCGTAATAAGAGTTCTTAAATAAGAATTCGTCAATGACATTGATTATTGATGCATATTTCAATGAACAGTAACTGATCACAATATCCGGCTTTATAATATGAGGCTGAATTGAGGGAAACGTGATGATGGAATATTATCTGCACTGTTCAATATAATAAGAGAAGCTATCACTGACACTTATACAATATTACTCCACTAGAATTCATTCGATTTGTTACGGTGACATGACCTACTTAACACGTTTCCCAGCATATTTCTGGTGTAATTCTTACCAACTATATTGAAACTACCAAACACAAATGTAAAATTGTTTAATAAGAAAAACCACACTCAAATATGAAGTAGTATTCATGTTAGAAGAACTCATTGTTTAACTTTTGTAAATGATCCAATTGTAAATGTTCCAATTTTCACCTACCAACCTCAGATCTACGATACCAATATCGTCTACCAAATGATGAGTAATACGCCATAAATGTAATCCTCATTTGTGAATGATGTTTCACAAATCACACCTATAACCTACGAAGTGAGAGAGATAGGTTGGAAGACGCCGAATTTCTGTGATCTATAATAAAACTTGTAAACCTACTGTAAACAACACTGTCTAGCTAGACACTAGTTTACATCCGTGATAAAGTTTTGTTTGAACACTACTGAGCATTATCATACTTGGATTAAACGGTTGATCAGTGTTATCCAGAAATTGACGATTGTCAAGCATATTTCAGATCGAGGTGTGAACCATAATTCATGATTCGTCAATCTTAGCTGTCAAATAAATTCACAAATGAAAATAAAGTTAGTGCGTCTACGTTGACTGACCATTGTTACATTGAGATTAAGACTACAAACGACATCAGCTATGTACAACTAAAACAATGAGATTTTCTACTCCAATTAGTCGACAATATTTCAGTCAAATCAGTATTCATATTAACTTATAAGCGGCCAGATAAACGTCCTCATAGAATGAAGTCCAACAAAATAGTAAACTCATTAATCCAATTTTCACATGACTTGTAACCCATACCCTCTGAGACAGTAGAACAATTTGATAAATTGTGTGTCTAAAATAAGAGCTTCCTCAATACACTTCCATTCAAAGAAGGAAGGAGAAGTGAATGAGAGAATATGTCAGGTGAATTAATGGCATTAACAAAACAATTATTAGGCTTACTTCACATCAAAGATCACTAACAAAATCATTGACGTTACAAAAATTAGCATCAATAGTTTGTGTTATAATGTTCTGATTAGAATTGAAGAGAGTAAATCTATTCATTGGTGTTAAATTACTGATAGTAAGTATACTTGATGTAGACTTGTATAAAATAAACAATTATAACTAGCTACAAAGTTTCAATATCCTGAACAGCCATTATAAATATGATGGATATCATTAACTTAGCCACTTACTCTCTACATAGTCTATTTTATTTCTATCCTTAAAAGCTAAAACATTAAAACCTGCTTTAACTTATATGTGAGAAAGGGTGAGTTACATACTACTGAGACTGTTTTCGATTATGTCACTTTACTGAAGGCATATATTCCATAAGATATTATCCAAGCAATTTATCGTGTAAGATTTCTGAAGACAAAATTATTTGTATTGAAGATGGTGACTACTCATGCTAACATCTGTGTTTGCTTCATTTAGTAACTGGAAATTATGAATAACATTTCAGATTATTCCATTGGACTTACCTCCTTCCCCTTTCAAATCAAATTAAATGGTATTATCATGTGATGTTAACTGATGCTAAATCATAACATATTTTTCAAAATTTTATCAATAATGTGAAGAAGTAGAAGAAGGGGAAGTCATTTCACCTTACATAGGACACAAAATAACAATGTTTCTGTTATATCCTAGCGAAGACATTAGTACGGGTAATTCCCGCGACCTATTGATGGACGATTATTCTATGTATATTCTTATTGTTTAACTATTGAGTAACTAGATTGTGTATATCTATATTCATCTTACTACAAGCTTCATTTTGACCTATGGATTATTATTATACGAATTACTGTCCATAAATTAAATTTAGTCTCCCGCGTTCACAGCCACATTTAGCTTGATCTTGTACAAATATTATTTTCTATTTTATGGTGTGATGCGGTCTGTTTGCCTGGTATATAAACAGAGTATGCTTGAAATAAATGAATGCATAAATAAATGCATAGCAGAAGCTGTAATTGATGTTCTGGACTCGCTTGGAAGAGCTAGGCGGACAAGGGACCAATAAGGATACTAGACTGGTCATACCAGTTGAATGTCATTGATTTCGCACATTGTTAAGATTAGACAATTCCTATTCCGGTTGGTGGATAACTCACGTGATAAAAGCCGGACATAAAATCATAACAAATTGGATAAGGTCCTATATTTTATAAAGTGATAACAGTTTCAATATTACCAATGTTGACCTTAACTGTCACAAACATTTCATTAACTTAGTTTTTGGCTCCGATGCATAGTTCAATTTATCAGTCATTGACCTGATCATTACTTCTTTTAATATTTTATTATCAGACAATATCAATCATCATTCAATTCAAATCGTATCTAGTTCCAGACGATGACAATAGACATTCACATCATTCTCTAAATCTCTCACGCATAAAATGTCAAATATCAATGCTTCTCTGTCTGTAAACCTTCATGAGTAAAACTGACCATTTTATAAAATATTGACACTTCAATACCCGTAGTAGTCATATGATGGTAGATTTCAAGTGAACAAAATTGAGCTTAAATTCCCCACTGATATCTGAATTGAAAGTAGATCAAATAAGTAACGTTCCCACGAACATTGGTTATTCAGTGATTAATTTATTTTGTATAGTCGTTTGCTTGAAGGTAATGATGGTAATAGTTTGTCACATATCGTCAACTTCATCTCAACTATCAGCCATCCTAAAAGCAATATTCCTTCATTGAATAAACCAAATTACTGTAAATATATCAATGTCTCACAAGAATTTCAATCGACATTCAACAGCTTACATGTTCACTCATACTATACAGAAATTAGTTAATGATAGAGGATAAATCCTATTTCACGATCAACTACACCCAAAGCACTGATCATTTATTCGAACACTGTACAACAATTACATAGCCAGTAACTTACCATTCGCCTCTTGTAGTAAGAAAATTGAAATCAATGACACAATACCAATTAACATTATCAATTGAAGCTGATAGCAAACCAAATTTTAGCTACATTAATATTTTCTCATCAATGGAATGAGTGAAAGACATGTTATAACCAAACATATAGTTTGCTTAATGTAAATAGTGTACATGATTGACAGAACGTTTTATTTACCTTTAATACACGTTTTATCCAATTTGATGATAATCAAATTGATTAATCACATTTAATTCTTGATTATATTTTGGGAAAAAGATTGTTTAGTAACAAAAATATGGTTTATTAATTGCGGCTAACTCGTACTATTGAAATTCCTCAACCATAACAATCATGATGTTCTACTCGACATGCATTCAATAATACAACTCTCAATAGTAAACTGTATTGTATCTGTTTTATCTGAAGCGTTACGAATTCACTATCTAGCAAACGAAACAAAGACTCGTGAAAAGAGACCGATAGCTAGCTATTCTGACGCGAACTCAGACCCAGCTAACTAGAGTAAGAAGTCCAAATTGGAAGCGGGGAAATATATTCCGTAGCAGCCAGAAGCACAGCAGTCATAAAGGGAAAAAGTCAAACGTATATATACAGCAACAAGCTATCCTTGGGCATCATTATAAAATAACACACTCAAAGAAACAATGGACCAATAGCGTTTAAGATAGTTTACAAGTGGGAAATATGAAGTGAAGGTAAAAAGCGCGCTTTTGCCGTGAAAACAAAGAAATTCAAATTTTCAAAATAAAATTACAAAATTAAGCCACTTATCAAGTAAGTTCTGAAGACTTGACATCCCCAACAGTATCACAGTCACCTGATGAAGAAATCCCAAACAATGCATACTTTATTGAGGATAATTTGAGATTTGACTTATAGTCCACTGTTATATAATCACTATCAATTTGTATAACATATTTTATTTAGGACATCCTCAACTGAATCAACTCCAATATCAATAGGTGTCAGCTCTTATTATTACTTTTTATCCTCTTTCAAATTTTATCTGGCTAATCGCAACTCAACAAACAATTCAAAATATGAACCAATATAATTGATTCCAATTATGTAAGAGGAAAGGAAATCAGATATTGACCAAATTAATTTAATCACAATCAACCACTTGTTTCTGAATGATATCTAATCAATCGTTAATCTAATATTCACCGAATCAATGTAAGCGCTTATTATCCAATGGAACTATTGTATCTAACTAACTCATATAAAATATTAGGTCGAAATTTCGGTCACAAATCAGCTGTTCAATTCTAATTAGTTCACGTGGAAAAACAAGAGTTTGAAATGAGCTTGGTTTCAAATAGCATATGTAAGAGTGAGATACTTGACATATCGTACTAATAAACCTAATAAGTCAGGTTCAAATGTCCGTATGTGAGATTGAATTCACCGGTAAGGTAATAATCAATAGGTTGTCAGTTGAATCAAGAGCAGATGAAGCAAATAATAACGACAGTTTGACGACTGTTTCACACACATTCATCCAAGAATCTTGATAATCGGTCATAACTTATTTCTCTTGTCTCTATCCTGTAGAAATAAACATGAATTTTAGCCAAGTCACTTTTACATATAGATCAGAGGGGGTTTTGTGGAGAATTTAGTATTTTCATAGTTGAAATCATGAATCAATTGAAGGTAGACCACCATCGAAAACCTGGAAGCACTGGACGGCCGTTTCGTCCTATTCTAGGACTCCTCAGCAGTGCGCATCCACGATCCCGCACTCACGAGACTCGTGGATGCGCACTGCTGAGGAGTCCTAGAATAGGACGAAACGGCCGTCCAGTGCTTCCAGGTTTTCGATGGTGGTCTAGCTTCAATTGACTCATGATTTCAACTGTGAAAATACTTTTACATATGTTTAAATATATGAATAAAGTAACGTTGAACATTTCTCAAGATTTCGGAGAGAAAAAAATATTAGACGTATCTTCATGTGGAAAACCTGAAAATCAACCATCTATCTTTCGAAATGATTTATTTTGTGGAAGTTCAAGTTGTTTCCGTTTTCGTTTTATCACTACTTAGATTTCATGAAATGATCAGAACATGTTTCGAAGTTCCATTTCGAACGAAGTCGTTCGTTTAACAATCAGGTGGTAATTTGTTAACCGATCACAAAACGTGTTATTACATTCTACTATCCAAGCGTTTCCTATGTTACAATTTCCTGACCACACTCGAATAAAATTCACTCAACATTCACTGGCCGGATACTATCAGTAACAGCGTTTTATGGGAGAGAACAAACCAGCTTCCAGTTGAAGAGGAAATTAGGAAACGACATTGGAAGTGGATAGGGTATGCATTAAGGAAATCACCAAACTACATCACGAGGCAAACCCGAACTTCGAATCCTGAAGGGAAGCGGAAAAGAGGAAGTTCAAAGAACACATTACACCGGGAAATAGAAGCAGATATGAAAAAGATGAATATCAACTGGGAAAGATTGTCCAGGATAGGGTTAAATGGAGAATAATGGTGGGTAGCCTATGCTCTTCTACTAGGGGTAAAAGGTGCAAATATGTAATACTGTCTACAATATGTTATTCATCATGGCACTAAATTAACACACTTAAAAATCAATTAAAATCAATAATTTTTTTTACTCAGTATATCTTCTCTTTCAATCTTTGAAAGAAAACTTTAACTCAACCTACTAAAACTTTTGATTTAATGAATAATCAGACAATCACCATAAGTTGCCATATCATAACACATTTCTTATTCTCAATTATTGAAATTTCATAAAGACTTACAAAATTTTTTCGACAACTTTTCTATTCGATTGCCAATATCAACAATCAGAAAACAAATATCAGTGACAAAATATGACGGTAGAGCACATTTTACAAAATACGATTTTTATATGTTTTGATTGTCTTATACAATTTAATAAGATTTTTATATAGTTGAAATCATGAGTCAATTGAAGATAGACCACCATCGAAAATCTGGAAGAACTAGACGGCCCTTTCGTTCTAATGTGGGACTCCTCAGTGTCAGTGCGCATCCACGATCCCGCACTCGCGAGCGAGATTCGAACCCAGGACCTATCAGTGTCGCGCCAAAGCACTTAACCGATAGACCACTGATCCGGCATCCATCGGTGTTAATGTTTAACTTCAACCAATCCACGATGTTTGAGCAACCGTTCATTAATTGTCTTCAGTGAGTTGTTATCTCACAACAGACGTGGTTGAACTCCACTGGTCACTGCTTCTCACTAGAACTCCAGGACATATATCTTGAAGTCAGTCACTGGTGAGCAAATGATAATAATAAGTTTTGTAAATGGTGATGTTTTCCATGTATTTCATAGATTCTTATACGCTGGAATCAGCCTGAAGGAAATGTTTGTTTAGTTAAATTTATACTGTGATGTGTGCTACTGATGTCAACAGATATTAATAGTATGAGTCATCAATAGAAAATGAAATGTCTGGACATAGAAGGATAAGAAAATCGAAGAGAAGAGAATAAGAACAGAGAATGATTGTTGTGGAAACGAAGAAACAATGATGTCTGAGACAATTGATTGACGTTTTGTAAATGAATCATTAACTGTATAGTTCTCAGATTCGACTAGGATACTCGATTGTCTCCCCTCTCTCTCTCGTTCACTACAATACCATTATCTAACTGACTACAACTATCTCTTCATATAGACTTTCTGAAAATTAGTTCATTCATAGATGTAACAACTTGCAAATAAAATCCTATTTAGTATCCAATGTTTGTTTTACTACGTTATATGTGCTGTAATTTCTTGTATCGATTTAATTCTTGCTGATTATTAATAGATTTGAGTTAATAGTCTTAAGTAAATTAACCAAATTAATTTCATTATTTACTCAAAGTAATACTCATGATTGGTCAATTCGCCAAGTAACCAAATATGATATTATGGTCAATATGTCACTATGTATATATATATATACATTATTATTGAACTACATTGAAACATAGGATTTTATTGATATGTTGCTCCATTTTCTGTTCCTATTTTCCGTTCTCCTGTTCCATTATGTAGATGGTAAGTCTTTGATTATATCCTTCATAAGACCGAAAATTGTTTATAGGGTAATACGTTAACATCATTTGTAACGGTTATGGGATTAATAAAGACATTTATTTCGTTGAGCTTTTACACTATTAATCTAACCAACATTACAAAACACTATTATATAATAGTAGATGTTGCATGTAGACTGATAGGTCCTGTGTTCGAATCTCGCTCGCAAGGCGAAATCGTGGATGCACACTCCCATTGAGTAGTCCCACAATAGGACGAAAGGGCCATCCACTGCTTCCAGGTTTTCATGGTGGTCTAGCTTCAATTGACTCATGATCTCAACTACATATAAATAGTATCGCATTTTGATTCACATGTGATTATTAATACATAAGATCCATAGATATTTTTCTATTCGAAATTTGTTTAAAATACTGATTCTGATTAGATCTCAGAAACACTTGAGATACAAGTACATCTGAACAAAGAGTCTTGAATAAGATGAAACACACGGCTTAGATTATACTACTACTACCTCTACTACTACAACTACTACCGTTTAAATTATGTTAAAATTTAACGACTCTCCCTAAATCTCTTCATAAGTTTTTGTAATCAATTTTCATTTCGTAAAACTCATTATCCATAATTGTTAACGGGTTGACACAAATACTCTGTGGAATGTTAGTTTTCAGATTATCAATTATTTCTGATATTTAACTGTTATACCGATTGCCTGGTAATATATAACGTGCTGATTCCCACCAATTAGAGAGGAGTGAATTATCGATTAGAGCAGTGACACACGAGAGGTCGTTGACCTCTTTCACAATTGCAAAGCTGTTTCTTATTGCAGTAGGAAGCGATTTACTTACGTTGTTAAATATATATCTGATTTTGCGCAATTCCAGATATGACCGTTTAAAAATGTGTTCCTTTATCGCACCGATGAGCATTGAATGAGATCTAATGAACACATCTTCATTAAACCAAAG